CATAAGCTACCTGCATAAGGTCTCGGACCGGAGTTTCCTTCCGTGTTTGGAGCAATTTGACACCCTCAGGCCGACGGGCTGTCATTTCTGTACTAAACGCGGGTCGGAATTTTTTCACTCTTTTGGTGGAAAGGGGGTGCCGTGCCGCTCATCAGTACACTTGATTGATATTTTCTGCGCCCAATTTATTTAGGGGTAAATAAGGCAAATAAGTAAATTTTTAAGTAAGGGGTCATTTTTTTCGTCATTTTTAACCATGGCTGCATGGAAAAACGAATTTTCCCAGGGTAACGGCTTGGTACTCGAAGAAGCTCAGAACCTAATGTTTCCAAAATTAGAATTTAATTAGAATCGATGAGATACGTTTACCGCTATCTTCGACGGCCCGAACACACCCACAACGCATATAGAACGTACCACCCCGGAGGTCAGGCGAAAAGGCCACATAACCATCCGCGCGGACTAATACCAGGGGGCCCCCAAGCCCTTTTCCGTAGAGCGTAATCGGCCGTTTTAATTCTACGTAGAGCGTAGACGGACCCTCTAATTCAACGTAGAGCGCAATTGGCGCATTTGGCGTAGAGCGTAATTCGCCGTTTTAATTCTACGTAATGCGTTGTAGCTATCGGGAATTAACCGTAAAGCGTAATCGATTAATTGTGCGTAGAGAGTAATCCAAGCCGCAAACGGGAACTCGAGGCCTCGCAAGTGCCGGGTTGTCGCGGCGCTCGAGGTCTTTCTTGCTCTACCCCCTTCTATACAATCGAACAATCCACTAGACTTGTTCCCAGAGCCATACACAAGAACAAGGCAACACATGGTCCACTACCCTGGTCAACTCGGTCAACTCGGTCAACTCGATCAACTCGGTCAACTCGGTCCACTACCCTGGTCAACTCGGTCAACTCGTTCAACTCGGTCCATTACCCTGGTCAACTCGGTCAACTCGGTCAACTCGGTCAACTCGATCAACTCGGTCAACTCGGTCCACTACCTGGTCAACTCGGTCAACTCGGTCAACTACGTCAACTCGGTCAACTCGGTCAACTCGATCAACTCGGTCCACTACCCTGGTCAACTCGGTCAACTCGGTCAACTCGGTCAACTCGGTCAACTCGGTCAACTCGGTCCACTACCCTGGTCAACTCGATCAACTCGGTCCACTACCCTGGTCAACTCAGTCGACTTGATCAACTCGGTCAACTCGGTCAACTCGGTCAACTCGGTCAACTTGGTCCACTACCCTGGTCAACTCGGTCAACTCGGTCAACTCGATCAACTCGGTCAACTACCCTGGTCAACTCGGTCAACTCGGTCAA